CTTGAAACTCACACTGTTCGTTTAATACATCTCCAAGATTTGAGCATACATTCCCTTTAGCCGTTTCTGTCTTATATACCCTCACTCTTATACAACCCTAACACTGCCTCCCCATCCTGGCCTTTACACATGGATTCTGTCTTGCCCTGTGGTTTAGTCTCTCGTGGATTTATTTGCTCTTCTACCTAGCTCATGTAACCACTTCAACAGTGTTAGAGTTGCTTCTGGATTCCTTGACTCCTTGAGCTTTTAAAATTTTCACCTTACCAATTCCCAACACTGTGTACATCTGTCATGGACTGAACTGTGTCTGCCCAAAATTCATATGTTGAAGCCTTAACACCAAGTGTGACTGATTTGGAGACAGAGTCTTAAGAAGATAATTAAGATTGAATAATATCATAAGGGTGGGGCTCTATCTGATAGTATTAGTGGCCTTATAAGAAGAGGAAGAGAAAGAAATCTCTTTCTGGAATTTCTCAGCTTACACATGGAGAAATGCTGTGGGAACACACAATGAGAAGTTGGCTTTCTATAAGCCAGGAAAGACAGCCCTCACCAGAACTGAACCCTACCAAACTTTGATCTGGGACTCCCAACCTTCAGTAGTATGAGTAATGTTTCTGTTGTTTAAGCCACCCAGCTTGTGGTATTTTGTGATGGGAATATGAGCAAACTAATCCAAGAATTCTATCATCCTGTGCCTTAGCTTCCACTCCAACTGCTTCTGGAAAAAAGAAGAAAATGGCTTGCTCCTCTAGAGACAGCATTGTTTAATGAAAAGAGCTCTAAATTTAAGACCATAATACTGGATTTTAAGTCATGACTCTGCCACTTATTAGCTGTGTGACCGTGGAGAAGTCATTTAAGTTATTTGAGTCTGCTTTTTGTTTTTTGTGGTTTTTATGGCCATATATATACTCAGAAAAATATCTGCCTTCATCATTTCACAATAAAATAGAAAATATAGTAAAAATATAAAGTTTTTACTATTAATGCCAGATAATGCCAGCTGACCCCTTACGAATCCTTAGAGATCCTTTTATCAACTGTTTTCTTAACAGGGTTCTCAGCAGTCTCTGACATGTGGTCATAGCCCCACTCTTAGGTGACTTTACTCCCTAATTTATTTAAAACACTTAGGATCTCTCACTACAACTTCCTCAGCTTCTGTCACCTCCACAGCAATATGTCAGTTTCTGAGCCCATTCTTTATTTCTTTGTTTCTATATCAGAAGTTTGACTTATTCCCCCTTTTCTTTGTAGTAACACCTCTATCTGGAGACTGGGTCGCTCCAATCATCTTTTACCTTTACTAAGGATAGATCAATTACTACCTTTGTGTTCAAACATGCTTGTGTCCTGTGTTCTCAGTGACAAACCAGCCCTTGTCCTGTAGAACTTTTCAGACATTCTCCCGTCTCTTTCTTCCCTATCACTGACAAGATTCCAAAACCTTCCTAGTTATATCTTCTACCTGTGCACTTTTTACAAAATGTGATCCATCCAGATTATGATTTTTATCCTACTTAAATGCTTTTTTTGGAATGGCATACAACTCTTATCTCTGCCTATCAATTTTTTAAGGTTTACCTAATATGTCTTCCCCTCTGTCAGTCCCCCCTTAAGTTATTTCTTCCGAACCCCCAAAGGACTTAGTTTGTACTTTTCTGACAGCTAATTTGTATTCACTGTAGTATCATTACTTATGCATCATTATTACATTATAAGCTCTTGAAGGCTCTCAATTTAAAATGTAATAATCATTTAATAAATGTTCAATAAATAATTATCAAACTGATCTCAAGCAGCATAACCAAAATTTCAGTTCAACTGAGACAAATAAGGACTTCACCTTGAATATGGATGAAGAGAAAGCCTGGGCCTATGTGAATCTACACAAGAGACAAAGAAGGCTTAAAATCCTTATAGCTATTTTCTGCCTTTACTGAAACAAAGTAACAATAGCCAATAGTAGATTGGCTGGCACATCAGTGTTTAGTAAATGTTTATTATCAAAAGGGTGAATGCTGAAAGTGGTCCTTGAATTATATATTAAACAGAGAAATTTAGAAAGTTGATGGGAGGAAAGCTAATGTAGAATTTTGAAGGTGTATCTAAGGCAATGATGGCTCTGTAATTTGGGAAGGATAGAAGACTGCCCTTTGAGGCACAGAACAGATTTCCATTTGAACCTTTTTCGCGGGCCCTACATTTAAGGTGTTGGTTGAAGTAAAGCATTTTACAGGGCTGTACACATTTCTGGTGGAAGACTTAAGAAGAGCTCAAAGAGTCAATCAATCAATATCATTTCAACCCAATCCATGTAGGAGAATAAAAACAGTTACGATTTTAGGTGACAGAAGTAAAACAATTACTTTGTGACTCTCCAACACGTATTCTTTCTAGGCTTTTAGAATGAATTTTGGCTCATTTTTTTCTAGAATAATAACATATAATTAAAAAGATAATATTAGCCATCATTGTTTCAGGGCTATGGGTCAGACTCTGTACTCAATACTTATATCCGTTATATCGAAACATAACATGATAAATATATCTAGGTGTGTGTGTGTGTGTGTGTGTGTGTGTGTGTATATATTTGTTAATTCTAGATAGTCAGCCCTGGGCGTGACTTGGCTACATTGCTTGAGAACTACTAAATAATTTTTTTTAGTGTAGAATTTAGTGTAAAATTTCTAATTCTAGAAGGCAGGGTGTGTGTGTGTGTGTGTGTGTGTGTGTGTGTATATATTTGTTAATTCTAGATAGTCAGCCCTGGGCGTGACTTGGCTACATTGCTTGACAACTACTAAATAATTTTTTTTAGTGTAGAATTTAGTGTAAAATTTCTAATTCTAGAAGGCAGCTATTGTATAGGGTATAACATAGGACTCAAAGTTAAAAAGGAGACAAACCTTCTTAAGTATCTATTCTGTGTCACATCTAAAGGCACTTTATATTATTTCCTTTCCCCCCACCCCCCCACCTCCCTTGCAAGGCAAAGTTATGGAGTTGTTAAATTTTTCAGATGAGAAAGCCAGATCTCAGGGAGACCAAAATTTGCCCACATATAATAAGTCATCCAGCTAGGACATAAACCCAACTCTCTCTGACCTCAACATCTATACCCTTTCCACGACATCCCACCAACCTCCCTGTTAGCAAGACCAGATTTTTAACATAATTTAAAATATATCCACCAAGTTGCCCTTAAGCTCTTTGTGTCTTTGTCTCCTCATCTTTAAAGTGGAGAAAATACTACAGTATCTACCACTCAGGGATTAAATGGACTACATAGATCAAAACACTCAACACAGCACCTGGCACATTATGGGTATTGATAAATGATTGCTTTACTTTAAGTAAATTATCTGAGACAGAAACCAGAAAAGGAATTTTCCATAATTTGGCGTCTCTGAGCCTAACTTTTTTCCATTTCTAAAATAGTCAATAGCATAGCCATTCCACTAATGAAATCCGAAGGCACAGGGTTAAATATACATATATTTTTAATTCTAACTTTTTGAAAACTGGTAACCAAGACATGGATAAGGAACAGCCATTCAGTCAAATCTATGTTTCTGGATCATGATGGAAAACATAGGGTATCATGATGGACTATCCAACTAGCAAAGTAAGCATGTAAGGGAATCAGAGATATGAGAAAAGTTCCTGCTATAATGAGTGTCTAAAGAATTTTATAATCAGAAACTGTTAAAATTCAAACACTCATTTAAATTTTGTTTTTGACTCAGGTTTTTTTTTTTTTAATTTCAATATGTGGGGAGAAGCTTGGAAAGAAGACATCTAAAACTTTTGAGTGCTTAAAGCACCATAAAAACATAGTTCTGGAATACTGTTCAAGGTTTGTTGAATTACAGCAAATACTTAAAAGGTACCAAACACTTTTAAAAATATAATATCCAATAACCTTTTCCAGAATACAATGCTTCTCTCATCTTACCTTTTCAAAAAAGTGCTTTCACTTCTGGTTAGTCTATCATAGCAATCTAAATAATAACGCCTCAATTAACAGACACTAATTATTTTTTCCATAAAACGCCACTTTTGATAAGTTTATGTAAGTAGTTAGGAACTGATTAGAATATTTCTTATCACATGAAAGTGATTCTAGCTTACTTGGCTTTTTAATATGATATAACATATTTAGCCTCAGTGCAAGATTTTTTCCCCAAATGTTAAGAAAATACAAGTGCATCATCATACAAGATTTTGGGAAGAACATTTTATTGCTAAGCATATCCTTGAACGAAAATGCAAATATGAAATAAAAGAGAAAAGGAAAAATAAAAAGCAGTAATGTCACAACATCATAAAATAAATTCCTGTAGGGTCTGCTAATAAAACAACAAGAATATGATAGAAGCTCACATACAGAATGCACATGTTCCCATAAAATTGTCCAAATAGAAACTTACACTAAAAGGAATATAACAAATGTATTTTTACTCAAATAAAAAAATGTAAAGAAAGAAAGCAGGAAATCAGTTCACAAGACCTTAAGACTCCAAGAACAGCAATCTTTTACAGACATCGAGATATAATCAATTTCATATAAGCTGGGCCATTTAGGTTATCTGAAATCGTGCTTTGATATCTCTTTATAATTCTGTCTTTTTTAATGGCAAAATAAAAACTCTTAATACATTGAAATATCAGGTAATGAGGAAAACCTCTTTCCAAACACATTAGTAAAGGCTACCATTGTTTAGATTGCGCTTTTTGCCCCATGTCTTTAAGATATTTTTTCAAAGTCAAATATTCATGCAACTTACAAAGACCAGCAGGAGTAGATTTCTAAATCTAAACAGCTGATTGATTTTCATCTGTACAAAAGAAATTGTATACATCTGACCCTCCAGAGGACACACTTCATTTTTCTGTGAATATTTGTCTTGCTCTGTCTCTTGCTGTTTGGATAGCTTGGCCATACAACCAGTTTATTGTTTTTCTGTACATTGTTTCCTCTTTACATAAAGGAAGGAAAAAGACAACTGGAATACAAACCAAACCAAGATAAACAAATAGAAAAGAAAGGACAGTTCTTAAAGCAGTATGTACAAAGGTGGCTAAGGAATTATACCAGCAAAAATGTAGTAAAATATGTAAACAAAATCTGAGAAGATTTTTTTTTAATTCTCTTTGACACAGTTAACTGTGACAAAACTAAAACTCATACTTTCTTCACATTTTCAGGTTCACTTTTTTGTTGTTTTGCTATTTTATTTTAAAACAACATTCTCATTCCACTTCAAGACTTTAACAGATTTCCTGTGTCAGTCATCCCATCAAACATACCATGATAAATATATCTGTATATATATTTATTTATATATATATAGTACTATTAAATTCCTTTTGTGTGTGTCACAGCAGCTTTATTCATTTATTTATTTATTTGTTTTTTTAAAAAGATGGGTGAAGGGAGAAGTGAGCAAATGGAAGGGTAGAGTTATTCATAAGTGTCAGGCTACAAAATTAAACCACTATAAAAGCCATTATCATGTTGGGGGTGGGAAAAGAACTATGTATTTTGCACTCGGTCATGACATGTTTGGCTTGTGTGACCTTTTGTGGTTCCATCACAAGTTGGACTCCCCTATTGACTGTTTTGTTTATTGTACAGACTTTAGTATTGTCTTTTCTTTTTTATCTGCATGCATTTCAATCAGTTACAGATCCAGCCCACCCCCCGTTTCCCCTTCCTAGGAAAGGCTGTGTTTTAGTTTTAGCACAATTTGGCTGGGTTAATGAACAGGAGCACTATTGTTAAGTAAAGCCAATAGCTCTGATAAAACCAGCCCTAAACCCATCTGTTCAGAGTTCAGGTGGCAAATTCTGAAATTAGATCCTGGGGGACCAGCTTTTTAAATCAATGTTATTATCCATCACATGGGTTTTACTATGTATTCAACAAAGCATTTTATAGAAAACAAACAACAGACTCTAGAGACACCACAATCTGATATGTAGAGTGAACACCATGGTAGCTTCTGAGTTCATATGGCAATAGTCTCTCTTACTTTTGTTTTCTGAGGGTTTTTTTTTTTTTCTGTTTTCTTAACTTATGTCCAGTCATTCTCAAAAAAATTAAACAGAAACCCAAAAGCCATTTTTCCCCTCAGATCTTGGAAAGTTACACACACACTGGCCAGAACAGATAAGGGTTGGGGTTTTGTTTTGTTTTGTTTTGTTTGTTTTTTAACTTTTTTTGTTTTTTTTGTTTTTACATAATTAAACCAAAAATTAAAAATAAAGAAAGAAAAAAACCCAAAACTATTGTTACAGTCAAGCTTCACAAACATCATTACAGACTCACTTGGAGTTATGGAACAAGTAAGTCATGAAGTCTTCTACCTTTTGTAAAAGGTCCTCAACAGAAGGAAGCTTCCAAGTCTGCAGAAGTGGTGGAGCCATGGGCTTGCTCCAGAGCATTCAGTGTGTGCTTTATGATACAGCAGGGCAGAAAGAACTTTCTGTCTCCGAGCCACGGCTGACACCTAGCAGCCACGGCTGAACTGTATACATAGATACATCTTTGTGTGTGTCCTGTTAAAAATGGTTTTCCCCACCAGAGTGATGGTATACCCCATCTCCCAGTTGTCACAGTTCTGACATCTGTCAAATCTCCTGGTCCAAGCAGTTATCGATTGATGTGTAAATAATTCCGCTTTGAATTCACGTGCTTACACGTAGTACTCTCTGTCCTTGTTTTTCTGCTTCTTGTGGCCGCCCTTGGAGCCCTGCTGCTTCTCCTTGAGGAGCGTGCCATTGCTCTGCGCCGAGTTGCTGATGTAGTTCCGCGTCTCGTCCACCTGGTAGGACCCCTCGTCCCTGTTCCTGTACTTGTACATGGCGTACAGGAGGATCAAGATGCACAGGGCGGCAGCAGCCACAATGCCGACGACCATCCCTGTTGTGCTGCTCGACTCCCGGATCACCTCTGAGGCCCCCGGGACCCGTCTGATTCCCGGCTCCGTGGGGTTTGCTGTGGGCACATGACGGAACATGGGGGAAGTAATTAGTGGGCTCTTCAGTTTGGTGCTGTCTAGCTCATAGGCAGTGGGCAACGGAAGCAAGACTAGATCAGGCTGGGGTTTGAGATCACGGTTATTCATTTTGCCAGCTGGCAATTTGGGCACCATCCCAGACGAGGAGGAAGCTGTGAAGCGGATCAGCTCAGGGGACAAAGATGTGGTAGTAGTCCTACTAGTTTCGGAGACTTTGTTAGGTCTAAAGTCCTTGGATTCCCACTTGGGCGCATGTGCTTTGTAGCCACCTTCGAAGATTGAAGTGGAAAGACTCTTATCTGTTACCAAGGAGAAGGTGGTGTAAAAATCTTCATCATCAGTAGGGGGCAGGTTAGAGTCAAAGGTTTCCCCTGAGCCATACCCAGATATCACCAAGCCATCATCATCACAACCATCGCTGCCTTGGTCCGACAAGCAAGGTAACCCCGCCTCAGAGGTCATGGACAGGGAATCTTTGGTGGTCTCAATAATGGTGAGGAGGGGGCGAAAGGTAGTGGGGAGTGTAATGGAAGGTGCACGAGTAGCAATAGGAGGGGTAGCTAAAGGGTCTTCTACAAGAAGAGGGATAACTAATTCACCTCCTGGGATTGAAAAGAAAAAGAAAAACAGAATTAGTATAGTTGGAAGCACAATTCATAGTCATTCCCAAAGAACGGAGTTTATAGGTCATGCATCAGAAAGTACAGTAAAAATGAACTGATCCACATATAGATCTTTTCTGGTTGTAGGCTAATTGTTCTTGGCGGGTATTAGAGCTCATGACATGCCTCTTGCCACCCAAACCTGAAATCCTTAGATCAGGTGCTTAGATTTCAAAGATACTCTCAAGTAATTATTTAGGTAGAATTCAAATCTGCTGTTTCCAGGATCTGCTTTGGGAATGATGACATTCAATCAACTGTATTGTTGCGAATACTGATTGGCTGTCAACATTGTGTGTGGGTGTGTGTGTGTGAGGGGGGCGGTGGGCACACACACATTGTGTGCTTAATTTGTGAATTTATTATTGTACCCATGACTTCCTTTTATCACCTTCTTGAGTTTTTACTTATTTTCCTACACAAGGATGAGAATGACCTACTCTCCATGTTATTGAGACCAAGATCAAGGAACATAAAAGACTTCAGTGTTTTCTTATGTTACTACCTTTTATTTTAAACTGTTAATAGCAGTCCTCAGGTACTATAAGCTAAGCAACAGTGACTTCTAACAAACCCATTTTGACTATGCTTTTCCAGAAATTCCCCTATTAAATGACAACTTGACTTGCATTAGTCTAATATATGTTTATGCATTGTATTTATGCTATGTGCAATATATGCTGAGCTGGAGGCCAGATTTCAAAAATACTCAGCCTAGATATCCATGACTTGCTGGAAACTTACTTTTAGATTTAGAAATGTTGACTTAAGAAAGCAAGTTTTTTAAATCAGTATTCTTATCTACAGTGGCAAAAATATATCAGTTTACCCATAGACCCTCATTATTGCATTTACAAACACATCGACTAAGTCAGGGCAGAAAGTTCAGAATAGTTGATGAAATCACAGTGCCTTCCCTTGTAAATCATGGATGTCCCATGTATTCTGGGGTGGATGTTGCCCACGTAACTGTAAGGGCAAGATTATTGTTCACCCATGTCAGCAAGATAATCAGGGTCTCTTCCGTGTCTCCTTACAGTGTTGTTTTCCAAGCAGAGGAAGAATCTCAAGAAGTAATCGTGTCTTTTCATTGAATTTATATCAGAAAACTTTATTCCAGCTATCACTTAAAAAAAAAAAAAATCCTCTAGCAGGAATGGCACAATGTTTCCCTGCCCCAGTTAGAAGTTGAGATGCTAATGTGATATTATTGTTGAAGGCCTTTTTCTGAGCCAGGCCACTAAGCTTTCAACTGGTACAGCGTTCCCTGTGTGTTGTGTCATTGGTAATAACTTTACTGCAATGGGATAGTCAGTGTTTGAGTATTTGTTAGCAGACATGACTGTAGCTGAGATGTCCCCCTTATGAGTGACAAAGACTGACAAGGATTTGCAGTGGCTCAACACGGCAAATTCTAGGGCAAGCCTTTGAGCTTACATAGTCTTCCAAGGTGTTTCTATAAAGATTGATTCACAAATTAGAACTCTTTAATTCAGCTTTCCACACCTTGTGTCTTTAAACATTGCCTGGGCCTCAATTAGAAGCGCTGCATCTACATTGTCCAGGTTTCCGGTGGGTTAAGGGAAGGGCCTCCTGGGAAGGAAGCTGTTGCATACTTTCAAAGTACCTTAGAAGAACTGCTTGCACCCAGGTCAGAAGCCTTTACTCCTTCCCTGTTTGGCCAATAACATTGTATTATGCAGAAAGAAGTGGAGTTGGGGAGGAAGGTGATAGTGCATACAACGTGTGTCATTTGGAAGGGAAAGGACAACAGGACATAGTGCTGTCATCTCTGGCCTAAGTGATAATTTTACCACATGTGGAGAAATGAACAAGAACCTTTCAGAGAATCTCAGGATGATACTGTGGCCTATGCTCTAAACTCCAGCTTCTGTTCTAGTGCTCAGAATTTGAAACTATTGAACAAGATGATTTTTGCAGATTTGCCAAAGTTTCAGACTTGCCTTACTGAACCAACATGCCTGCTTTTTACACTGAGAACATATATAATTCATGTCCCTTGCAACTTATTTAATGCATAATTTACACACTTTAGCTAGTTTTTATAAAAGGGATCTGGAGTGCAGTTCCCTAAAGGTAAACTAGTCCTAAAACTAACCCTGAGCCAACTTTTTTTCTTATTCTTCTAGTAGGGAGCCCCAAGTGGGCTATTTAAGGTGATATATGGAAGAGGGCAGTGTTTGAGTAACAGGAGAGCAGCGGTGAGAGAGAAGCGAGGGCCCATGCAATCTGTCCAAAGGTTTCCTAGGGATTTCTTAGGAACGACAGGATTTTTTTTTTACCCAGCTTAACTAAAACAAAGGTTTAGCATATGTGTTCTTTTCTGGCACAAATACCAAGAATCATTTGTTCCTTACGGCAATAACAAAAATCTACCCCATGTAGAGTAAGCAGAGAGGAAACTGGATTAACAGACAAGGAATAACTGATTTGTTCGGAGGCAAAGCCCTGGTACAAATAATTTAAATATAAAGGCAAACACTAGGATGCTAGAGTCCCTTTAAGTGAGATTAAGATCACTGTCTTCATGATTACTGAGTGGCATTCATTTGCAATTTTAGTGTACCATCTGTGACACCCAACTGGAGTCTAAAATTTGCCTTTTTTTTTTTTAGTTGTTTTTCTCTCTTTTTAATCCTAGCTAAAGTTTCCACAGGGCCTTTGTTGTTTAAAATGTACAAAATCTACAACTGCTCACTTTGCATTCCATTACTCCACTTTCGTTTGCTATTTCCTTCTCATTCAACACCCTAATGTAAACATCTCTCTTGGATTTTTTTTTTTAATAAAAATAACCCTTTTTGCAATGGCATGGAAAGGGGGTTCTGAAGTCTGTGAATTCATAAAAAGCTTCTAAAAGATTGGAGAGTCCAAAGTGAAATGTAAGAGCTTATTTTACAACTAAAATGATGGGTATGCTGTTGTACAGTTTAGATAAAAAAAATCTGTCAAAACTACTAATCTTCAGTTTTCTTGGCTATTTCATTACAAATCCTGCTAGCAGTGATAAAAATCATAAATGATGCCTTCTGTCAGGAAAATGTGAGCCCAAATTATGCTTGTCTTTAATCAATGAAATTGTAGAAGCTTTTATTAACCCCCTTACCTGGCATCTCAGGAAATCGGAAGAGTGCCTTTAGTTTAAAATGAAGTCAAGTGGGATGCAGGGGTTATTATTACAAATTATAATGAAAATAGGTAGAAGCTTTTAGATAATTGTAGACATGAGAGCTGTCTGGGACAGATGTATGAGTTGGAGTATATAACCAGTTTAAATATAAAATTCCATCTTTAAGATTTAAGATGATCATAATGTACTGGGGAGATCAAGAGCACACATCATTTGAAATGTATTGAGATGTATTTCTACCAGCATTAGATCACTAATAGAAATCGCTTAGTTTGTGGGAGACTATTTAAGACTTTTTGTTTATTTGTGTAATCCAAAGTGACTACCCTCAGAAGTATTGCAACTGATAATATTTTTTTTTCTTTTTTTTACTGCCTGAATATTGTGGAGTCAGTGATCAACCCTATGTCTATGCTTACAAGTGTATTCATGGAATCAACAAACCTAAAGTCATCAAGGGTTATAGGCAGAGTGATACAAAACCTGTATTCCATCAAAACCCTAATTTCCAATGCCATCCACAGAATTTTTCTTTGTTTTGAAATAAGAACTATCTGTATTCCTTAAAGTTAATATTTTAAAATTGGGAATATATACCCTTTTTTTTTTTTGGCAGGGTTGTGCTTTTCTTTAAACTAGAGAGATCATTAGGGATATAAAACATTTATTTTAGTCCTGAAGGCTGCCCTGCATTTTTGCTTAATAGTTGTATTTATAGATAGATAACTCATGCTTCTAGGGCTGATATCCAGCACAAGGGACTCTCTCTGCCATTGAAAAGGATATGTATTAAAAATTCAGTAGAATTCTTCTGAACCATGAGAACATTGTAGGTGATGGAGAATGTAGTGGGTTATCTGAAAAAAACAAGAGTGTTAGCATGAAGTTTCCATGTGGCTCCAACCTTTGCCTCTCTGGAGATATTTGAGTCTGAAAGGTCATAAGTATACCAAAACAATGACAGTGAGACTCTGGGAGAGGACAGCAGTCTCCAATTACTCCTGAATTTATGTTATGTCTATTTGGGATCTCTACCTCATCTCATATTTGTGTTATTCTAATTCTCTGCTTGGAAATGTACACATAATGGGGAGAAATCATTCTTTCTCCCACTAAACTAGCTGTTCAAAGACATCTGTTTAGCGATTTGGTGCCACAGGAGTGTGTACTTGCAGCACACAAATGTCACAAAGCTTGCTATTGTGAAATTGCTCTCCTGCCTCCTGCAGAAAAAAGTCAAGGACAAACATGGCAAGTACCTGGGAAGAAGACACCAGAAAAACTCAAGGGTTTTTGAGTTAAGAAATGGGCTCAACTTATACTTAAGTATAACATATTTAAGCATGATGCAAATTTCTAGGTAGGCCATTTCCTCTCCCCACTTAAAGCAAATGGTTTGCCTGAAATGGGTTTGAATTTGAAAGGCTACAGATTCGACAAATGCCCAGATGAGATGAGCCAAAGCCCCTTGATATCATTAAACATTGTAAAATATGGAATGTCCAGTGGAGTCCAGTGGAGTTTTTCATTTGATTATTGGCTAAGAGCTTTGCCTCTCAAGTCACTCAAACTCAGGTTAGTATCAGAAATTTGCTGTTTACTAGCCATATGACTTTGGTCACATTTCTTAAATTCTATGTAAAATAGGAATAATAACACAGCCTACCTTAAACCATCAATGTGAATATTAAATAATATTTGGTAAGTATTTAGCATAGTGCCTACTGCTACTCAGAAATGCCAATTGCTAGTATTATTAGGTCCAATAATATTTTTGAGCTATAAAAAT